AATAATCATGACATAAGCAATTATGAACTGAAAAAAATAAAAAGCGTTGAAGATACTGTTATATATATTTTGAGAGGAATATGGACAATGTGCTTGGAAATCTAAGATGGCAGATTTGCCTTTGTTATCTGGACGACGTTATTATATACAGCTCAGACTTTCCAACCCACCTTAAAAGACTTGAAGCTGTCTTAAAATGTTTTAGTGAATCTAATTTGAAACTGAACGACAAGAAATGCAGATTTGCTTTTGAAGAACTTGAGATCCTTGGTCATATAACCAACCAACAGGGTATAAAACCGGCCGAATATAATATCAAAGCCGTTAGGGATTTTCCTCAGCCCAAGAAGGTCAAAGAAGTACAATCGTTCCTAGGAATGTGTTCCTATTATAGAAAATTCATTAAAGATTTCTCATTAATTGCTGACTCATTGACAGGACTCATCAGGAAAAATGCGCAATTTACCTGGACAGAAAAACAAGAGGAAGCATTTCAAAACCTTAAAAAAGCTCTGATAAATCCGCCAATCTTAGGTCACTTTGATCCAAATGCAGCCACCTACATTCACACAGACGCCTCTAACATCGGCTTAGGTGCAACACTGGTCCAAATTATCTGTGGGGAAGAGAAGGTGATATCATATTTGAGTCGAACTCTAAGTAAAGCTGAGCAAAATTACTCAACCACCGAAAAGGAATGTTTGGCTGTGGTGTGGGCGATATCAAAACTACGACCCTACCTATATGGAAGACACTTCAATATAATTACAGACCATCACGCATTGTGCTGGCTGAAAAATCTTAAAGATCCAACAGGTAGACTTGCAAGGTGGGCACTGAAAATTCAGGAATACGATTTTGACATAATACACAAATCGGGTAAAAAACATATGGATGCTGATGGCTTATCTAGAGGACCCCTACCTGAAACGGATTGGGTCGAAGATTATGAACGACCATTTTTTAATCAGATAATAAATGAAGAGGATGAATTCATTGAAAATTTTAAGAAAAGCCTTAAAGGAAGCAAACGAGCAATCACACAGAATTTTAAAGAGGAAAATGGATGTCTATATAAGAAGAACCCAAACCCTGAAGGCAGAGCATGGTTGCTGGTAGTGCCGAAGAAGAGAAGGAAAGAAATCATGAGTGAATTCCACAACCATATGCTGAATGGCCATCTAGGCGTCGCCAGAACCACATACCGTTTGAAGAATAAATATCATTGGCCTTCCATGCTGAAAGATGTTTCAGAATTTGTAAAGACGTTGCCATCTTTGCCAAAGTCGGAAAGGTTCAAATCAGTCGCCCTCTGGACTTTTGCAACCCATTCCCCCAGCTAACTACCCTTTTGAAAGAATCGGGATTGACTTTGTTGGTCCCTTGCCATCAACGAAAAGAAGAAGGAAGTGGATAATTGTGTTGACTGATTATTATACCAGGTACGCTGAAACAAAGGCAGTCTCAGAAGCAACAGTGAAAGAAGTCTCTACATTTTTAATCGAACAAATTTTTTTACGTCACGGGGCCCAAGGTTTCTTATTAGTGACAGAAGTTCACAGTTCACTAGCAATTTGATGAAGGAGGTTATGAAAATATGCAAAGTTAAACACTGCTTCACGACGAGCTACCATCCCCAGACTAACGGACTAACGGAACGGCTAAATAGAACTCTAATCAATATGATAAACATGTATGTAAATACAGACCAGAAGAACTGGGACGAAATCCTCCCTTTCGTCACCCACGCGTACAATACCACGATTCAAGAAACCACAGGCTACTCTCCATTTTTCCTGTTATTTGGGAGGGAACCCATGTCCCTCTTAGACGACGATAATATCCCAATTGACAGTAACATGAACGATTATGACGAATATATAGAAAATTACTTAGATAAAATAGCAAGGACGAGACAGGTAGTCATTAACAACACAGAGAAGACTCAGGAAAGAATGAAGAGAAACTATGACAAAAAACACAACGAGAGAATCTATGAACCAGGACATTTAGTGGCAGTTTGGACACCAGTCAGGAAAATCGGAAAATGTGAAAAACTATTGAGAAAATATTTTGGCCCATATCGAATATTAAAGAAGCTGTCTAACGTAAATTACTTAATTGAGCCGAAAGATAATCCTGGCCAAGACCCATTGATTGTCCATGTCTCAAGACTCAAACCCTATTTTGAGAGAATTGATGAGGTAACTCACGAGGACGTGACGACCTCTGGAGAGGGGGGAAGTGTTACATCATGATTAATGGCGTATTCCTTATATTATTTTTAATATATTTGAAATTTAAATTATATATTTATTTATTTTTATATTCTGTGATATTTATTTAAAACAGATTATTTAGATTATCATCATTTATATTTAGGTACACGTGTGACTTCACTGCTCTCTTTGATGTGAGAAAATAAACAAAGGATTCTGGAGGCTACTTAAAGAAGACTTATCTCGTTATTCCCTTTTATAAAGTTGTAGGATGGTTGAAACACGCTCTGGTAAGATGCAAGACCCAGCACAGGAGAGAATCAAGGCTGAAGAGTCTGCCAAGCCGCAACTTGATGCAACAATATATATATATATATATAAACTATTCAAGTATTACCTTAACTCAATATTTTATACGTCAATTTTGCAATGATTTACATTTGTTAAATTTACTTAATGATTCTGTCCTAACGCTATAAAATGTTGAAATAACATTCTTTCATTATCTTTTAAAATGACAAACATTTTATTCTCCGATAGAATTCGCAACTTTATCCAGTTTAAATCAATAATTTATAATCAAAATAAGAACATTAAGCCTCCAGGGAAATGATTATTTTAAAAATATTTTTTTAATTCAAAAAATCTCTCAAGCTTTCGGGCAAGTAAGCCCTTCTACGGGATAAAATGATGTAAAATATTTTCTCCCGTAGAAGGGCTTACTTGCCTGAAAGCTTGAAAGATTTTTGAATGAAAAATATATTTAAAAGAAACATTTCCCTGGAGGCTTAATGTTTTTATTTTAATATTGATTCAAGGGATTATTTTATTCAATAATTAATGTTTTCTTCAAGAGTAAGAGGTTTCTGTTATATCATGTAATGAGATGTAGAGGTTCAACTTTCGTTGATCATGACACCATGATCCAGGCCACACTTTGGTGAAAGTCGGACTTTACCTGTAATTTGAGGACGTTCCTAACATGGAAGCCTTTGCTGCCGACTCTAACATGGGTACAGACACAGCTCCTCTGTATCTCCGTATCCCTGTTTTCTTAGATTACCTTACACATTTTTTTTGCTTATCCCTAGTACACATGGTACAGGCCATGATAATAATGGTGGGTAGAGGTAGGCGACTGCTTTTACTGTAAAGTGCACCATATGTCTACACATGTGAAAAGCAGTTCGACTTCGCACTTACAAATGTGCCAGAGCCCTGTTTGGTTACTTGCACTCGCGGGTGGGGTTGGACCTTTGCAAGAATCGAGGGTCATTGGAGCATTTTTTTTTTTTAAATAAGAAAAAAGTGGCCAATGCGGGAATCGAACCCGGGTCGTAGCGGTCGAAAATCAACGGTTTATACCATCCTTCCACCGACCCCCTTACCTTACAGATGACTACTAGAAATATAATGAAGCCTACAGCAAGATGAAGAAAAAACTACAGAAAATGACAAGACAATATTTTTAATTAGGGGCTAACGGTCACAAAATGAAATCAATACTCAATCGATGACTAACCCTTACTTTTTAGTTTTGGTTTTGTTTTCCAATGGCGGCCACTTTTATACTTAGTCGATTCTTTATGTGTTAAATCGTTATATCGGTGTTGACTAAAAAAATATATATTCTCGGTACAGGTTTTCTTAGCTATAGAAAGATTTCAATCATATTATTTTATTATTATTAGTGAAATTCCGTGAATATAGGAGAAAGTACAGTAAAATTAAGTCTAATGAACCATAAATTGGGTAAATTCGGCAATATATATAACTCTCTTTCTCTCGTCATAATTTGTATCAGAGTATTTCAATTGTTTTTTTTACTGCTTCCACCTTCGCTGGCCTCTTCTACTGGATTTCCTCCCCAGCCAAGAAGACTCCTGCCTCTCACTGCTCTCAGGCGCTCTTCCCCTGCCAACTCTATGTTTCCTCCACCCCTGCAAGACATATTTTCTGCCAGACCCTAGGATCCCTTGACACTGGAAGCCACGTTCTGCCATGGGGGTTAGAAGACCATGCTCTAAATGGCCAATTAACCCGGAATAGAAAGAAGTCTTTCAATTGTGATAATTTTTATGTTCTAAAAGTATTTCTCCCTGATCTTTTTGCTGGTCTCCAGTACTTCTACAGTTTCGATCAATGATGGAAACTTTTCTGGAGGATAGTGATCTATAAGAAGGTCACCTCTCCCGTCAAAATAGACACAAATACCTATGCGCCATCTATACCCCGGTGACAAAGCCACAACATCAGTTTTAGAAAATCCAGAACGCCGCCCATCTGTAGAGCATAATTTCGACTAATAGCCCTCGTCAAATGGCGTATAGTTTTTGGCGTCTATTTTGACGGGAGAGGAGTTTATATCAAATGAAAGTATGGTCCAACTATTCAATTAGTTTTAAACAGGATACACGCCATCTATATTTGAAAACGTTAACTATTTGTAACGTGAATGTTTCTTATTTTGAAATAAAACCATTTTCTAATGCCCTTACTGCAATTATAAAATGTTAGGAAGGCCTGGCTCATCAGTGGTGAACCCTTCTAGCGGTTTCACCAGTTTAATATACCAAAACTATCATAAATCTACAAATGGTAGATTAAACTGGCGAAACCGCTGGAGGGTTCACTACAGATGAGCCAGGCCCCTCACAATATTTTATCATTGCAGTAAGGGCAATAGAAAACTGTTTTATTTTAAAAGAAGAAACATTCTCCTTATAAAAAGACGAAACATTTGGTTTTATAAACGGAATTATTTATGAACGGAAAAATACTTCCAGGGTAGCCTAGTGGACTTGGCATCTGCCCGGTAAACAGAACATTGTGGGTTCGATTCCCATCCCTGGACACTTTTATTTTCCGTTCATAATTACTCTTCATAATTCAACCTTTGATACCTCATCCAAAAAGGTTAGAAATAGTCAATATTTCACCTTGAAATAAATTTTTCATTGAAAAGAAACTCATGCGGTGTAACTTTAAGTGTTGGTTTTATAAATAGTTTATATTTCTATTAGTTATATTTTTAGAGTGTATAATATAAAATTTCAAAAGAATGGTATACATGTTACAAAAGTTCCACCTCTCCCTTTAAAAATACATAAAAACATTTGTAATACGATATATTAGCGCGACATCTGTAATAAGAAATTGGAACTATTTTAGACACGTAGGATTCTTTTTGATATAAAACAATTCTCTACAGCATTTACTGCAACGATAAACTAATGGGAGGGCCTGGCTCATCAGTGATGTACCCTTCTAGTTTTTTCGACAGTTTTAATATACCAACTATAATAAATCTATCACTGGTAGATTAAACTGGCGAAACCGCTGGAAAGATTCACCACTGATGATCCAGGCCCTCATAATATTTTATTATTTCAGTAAGGACAATAGAAAATTATTTATTTAAAAAAATGAAACATTTTATTTCATAAATAGTTTTTATTTCTATGAGTTTTATTGTTACTGTATAACATGAAGTTGCAAGAGGATGGTATACGTGTACCACCAAAAGTGGCACCTCTCCCTTTATAAATGCATAAAATATTATGTTTATCAGCTTAGTAAAAGCGGTGATATTCTTCTTCTTCTTTCTTATCTCCACTCAATCATATTATGGTATCAAGCTTGTAAAGCTTGTTGATGGTGTCTGCTGGGGATGAGTAGAGCTCATCAATGGATGAGTCAATACAGTCAATAATGTCTTCTTCTTCTTTCTTATCTCCACTCAAACATATTAAGGTATCAATCCTGTAGAGCTTGTTGATGGTGTCTGCTGGGGATGAATAGAGCTCATCAATGGATGAGTCAATACAGTCAATAATGTCTTCTTCTTTCTTATCTCCACTCAATCATATTAAGGTATCAAGCTTGTAAAGCTTGTTGATGGTGTCTGCTGGGGATGAGTAGAGCTCATCAATGGATGAGCCAAAACAGACAATAATGTCTTCTTCTTCTTTCTTATCTCCACTCAATCATATCAGGGTATCAAGCTTGTAGATCTTGTTGATGGTATCTGCCGAGGATGGGTAGAACTCATCAATGGACGAGTCAATACAGTCAATAATGTCTTCTTCTTTCTTTTCTCCACTCAATCATATTAAGGTATCAATCTTGTAAAGCTTGTTCATGGTGTCTGCTGGGGATGAGTAGAGCTCATCAATGGATGAGTCAATACAGTCAATGATGTCTTCTTCTTCTTTCTTATCTCCACTCAATCATATTATGGTATCAAGCTTGTAAAGCTTGTTGATGGTGTCTGCTGGGGATGAGTAGAGCTTATCAATGGATGAGTCAATACAGTCAATAATGTCTTCTTCTTTCTTATCTCCGCTCAATCATATCGGGGTATCAAGCTTGTAGAGCTTGTTGATGGTGTCTGCCGGGGATGAGTAGAGCTCATCAATGGACGAGTCAATACAGTCAATAATGTCTTCTTCTTTCTTATCTCCACTCAATCATATTAGGGTATCAAGCTTGTAAAGCTTGTTGATGGTGTCTTCTGGGGATGAGTAGAGCTCATCAATGGATTAGTCAATACAGTCAATGATGTGTTTTGGGGTTGCAAGTTGAGAATTGCACTTAAAAAAGCGGTGATGGTGATAAAGAATTATTCCCAAAAACCACGGTACACAAGTTAGCCTTGTCTGAATTTACCAAAACTTATGTTGTGGTTCATCCATTTTCACCACCATTACGTTTTATACTGGAGTCATAAACAAACGGTATTGTTTTAATGCATTTTTAAAGGGAGAGGTGCCTTTTTTGCACATAATATATATTTATATGAAAAATAGACACTTCGGTCAGTTGGAGTTTTTTATTTTCTCAACGTTTCGACAAAAAATCTTTTGTCTTCGTCAGGAGAAGTAAATAAAACATTTGGCAAGGCGTTAAAATTTTGATTTACTTCTCCTGACGAAGACAAAATATTTTTGTCGAAACGTTGAAAAATAAAAAACTCTAATTGGCCGAAGTGTCTATTTTTATATAAATATGAATGCCGGCCAGGCAACATCTGTCTTTACGATAATATATATTGTTGTTGTTGTCGTGTCCAATGAAGAGCTTCAGATGTCCTCGTGCATCTCAATCACAGCAGCAGCAATGTCCTCTCTATATATAATTAAAAGACTTTTTAGATATTCAAACTGTAGTGAATCAAGTGTCTTTTTTATCTATTTTAATTCCAACAGATTAGTTCAAACTTCTGGCACGAAACTGTGTAAACAGTTTATCACATTATCTCATGAAACACATTTCATACTCTCTGAAATTTCAATATCAAAATTCGATTTGTTGTTAATGTGTTGATACTATTAATAACCATTGGTATACGAATACCAAGTTCGAATCCGTAAAAAAATCACTCTTTTACATTCATAATAAGTTTCCTAAAATAACTCCTAATTTCCCCACTAGTGAATGCAAGTAACCAAACGGGGCTCTGGCACATTTGTAAGTGTAAAGTCGAACTGCTTTTCACATGTGTAGACATGTGGTGCACTTATAGTAAAAGCAGTCGCCAACTTCTACCCATCATGATTATCATGGTCTGTACCACGTGTACTAGGGATATTAAAAAAATAACAACTTCGAATTGTCTTTTTTGCCCAAGTCCGACTTCACCATAGTATGTGAGAGACGTACAGAACTCTCTTACATCTTGTCTCAAAATAATTACAGTCACTATTTATACACTTGTTCCATTTTTTTTCCAGATATCAAAACACCTCTGAAAATTCTCATCTTTCAGGCTTTTCAAAATATTCTTTGAATTCTCTTTTATTTCAGGTATTGAGTCAAATCGAGGTCCTTTTAAGACTCTTTTAATTATAGGGTAAAGGAAAAGGTCGTTGTGAGCAAGGTCAGGAGAATAGGGTGGCTGGGGTAGTAAAGCAATTCCGTGTTTAGCCAAATAGAGTTGTACAGTGACGGCCGTATGTGGCCGTGCGTTGTCATGATGCAAGAGCCAATTTTTTCTGATGCCATTTTTCGGGTCTTTTCTGACGCACAGGCTCTCTTAAACGTCGCAAAACATCAATATAGTAATGTTGATTAATGGTCTGACACTCGGGCACGAATTCATAGTGTACCATTCCCTTTGCCTCAAATAAAGTGATAAGAAGACACTTAAGCTTCGATTTGAACATCCTTGCTTTCTCTTGCTTATTCGACCAGCTTTTAATCGTGCAAACCATTCAAATGTCCTCAATTGTGATAGGGCATCTTCTTTAAAAGCCTGCTTCAAGATTTTAAATGATTCGGAAGCTGTTTTCCCTAATTTAAAGCAAAACCCTATGCAGACTCGCTGTTTTTCAATACAGTCCATACTGAAGTTAGAAAATGTTCTGATATACTCGAGCTTATAAATTCGATAAAACGTGAGCGCGTGCGTCTATGTGATCAATTATTTCTACGTGTTGATAAATGTTTTATCTATAACGTCCTTATAAAATTATTTCATTATTTTTAATATTTTACGTGATCCAGTCTCATTCCTGGAAATTATTGATCACACGTTGTATTTATTCCGACAGATGGCGTAAGCCATCAGCAACTTTTGGCTTCACAATTAGGAAATGCCTTTTTTCTTAATTTATCCATCTGATCCCAGTACAATTTCACTTTTGTACTGTTTTTTTCATATAATGGAGTACTTCCCAATACAAGTTATGAATATCATAGAAAAGATATTTTTATACTTTTATTGAAACAGATGTGAGAATTTGAGCAATTATTATCTTCAATATAGAAAGATCCTTTGATGATGTCAAATCCAAGTTTAAACTTAAACAAATAACTTGTAACATGTTTATGATCATTCCCAATATCTAAAACATCAAGAAAAAGGCATCTCCTTATCGTGTAACTAAAAGTTGCTGATGGCTTACGCCATCTATCAGAATAATATCAACTATTCTCGTTGATTTTTAATTATTCCAGAATTGGCCAAATACCCATTCTTGATTCATCAAAAAAAGCTAACAACGGAAATTCACATCTAAAACATCGTTATCAATCTATATATCACTTATTTTTGAGAATAACCTACTTAATTATTGGACTTGTGTCCAAGATGCGACATGGTAATTACAGGTATCAAATGATAAAAAAGTGTCAAAATACTGGTAATTACTCTAATTCATCAGCTAAACATGTCAGGAATTCATGATTTCAAATAAAAAAAACAAAGATGAGGTTTATGGTTAGTATGGACAATGGTTTACAGGCGAGCGTCACTGTCTAATTCTGGGTAAAGCGACAAGTGAGAAACAACCAAATCCGGGTGAAATCTGCTGGAAATACTCTCCGGAGGCCATAAAGATGATAAAATGACTCAAAGATAACATAGGATCATGGACAATCATCCAAAACTATCATTAGAGACGAGCTCAAAAGAACGACGCCAACCTTCTTCCCAACGGCTCCATCCTCCCAACTGGTATGGAGCAGATATTTCACGGAGCAGACGCGTTTCAAAGTTTGGGAGTACAGCGCAAGCATCGGGGGACTAAGGGACACTTATGTGATAGAGGGGTACACAATAGGATGTCTTTATAGCATTCAAATATGAGCAAATGCGAGCGCACTAGAAGAGTTTAGCATGGTGGCAATGGCGTCGCTCCCAGGGTTTGGTGTCTCGACATGCCTCGTTCACCGAGCCCTCACAAGAAACTGGGAAGGAATCGAAAGCTCGTTTAACCGTAGGTAGATAGGGGGGTGAACCTTCTACCACCCACCGAAGACATTTCATCGATACCTGCTCATTTCCGTCTTTAAATGCCGATTAAATTGATGTGTCAACGTGAGGAGCGAGTAGTGACCTAAATTTGGACGTCC